TCTCCGCTTCTCTCCTCTCTCTCTCCTCTCTCTTCTTCTTCTCTCTCTCCTCTCTTTCTTCTCTCTCTTCTCTCTTCTCTCTCTCTCTCTCTCTCTCTCTCTCTCTCTCTCGCTCTATCTCTCTCTTCCCTCTCTCTCTCTCTCTCTGCTCTTTCTCTCTCCTCTATCTCGCTCTCTCTCTCTCTATCTCTTCTCGTCTCTCTCTCTATCCTCCTATTCTCTCTCTCTCTCCTTCTCTCTCTCTCTCTCTCTCTCCTTCTCTCGACTCTCTCTCTCTCCTCTCTCTCTCTCTTCTCTCTCTCTTCTCTCTCGTCTCTCATACTTCTCTCGATCTCTCTGCTCCTCTCTCTCTCTCTCTTTCTCCTCTTCTTCCTGACTCTCTCTCTCTCTCTTCTATACTCTCTCTCTCTCTCTTCTCTGTCTCCCGCTCACTCTCTCTCTCTCTCTCCTCTCTCTTTCTCTCCTCTCTCTCTTACTTACTCTCTCTCTCTTCTTCTCTTCTACTTCTTCTCTCTGCTCTCTCTCTCTCTCTCTCTCTCTCTTCTCTCTCTCTCTCTTATCTCTCTCTCTCCTCTGTCTCTCCTCTCTCTCTCATATATGTGTGTGTGTACCATCTGTTTTAAAATGGTACGACCGAAATGCAAGGATATTTTTCGGAGGCACCCCAAACTCCAGGGGCACCACAATGTTGCGTGCCCCCCCCCCCCTTTGAGGAAATCCTGGATCCGCCCTTGGTTGCTCTGACCTGTGAGCGCGCATGTTGAAAACCGTATTACATACTTTTCTATCAGTAATCAAGTCTGACCGAATCTTGGACATCTTTAGATGAACATGGATTAGCTATGTTAATACAAATTTGGGACCCATTTTCATCTACAATCTACGTTCAGAGGGTCCTCAATATCTGTGAAAGACACAGAAAACATGGAACTGGAGCCTATGTGACAATTATTGAACCACCCGCGGCGATAAGGGGTGTTGTTGCGTCAATGAGGGCTCCTGTGCTGATCGTGGGCCAACGGCGCGGGTCAGAGGGCCTCCCGTGTCAGAGAGGGTAACAATGTGATATGATACAGCCTTCCAGTGGCCTCCAGATCGAAGAGGGGACCCCGCCCCATGTCGCCTAGAATGACAGCCAGAAACTACTTCGCGATGGGACGGAATGGCCCTTCAGCCCTTGACCAGAAACGGTATGCGCCCCTGGGGTGCTCCTCGAGGAGCCCCTTGCCCGGAGGAAAATAATGGGTCTCACTATTGTTGAGTAGAGTGGTGTCTCACTGATGTTGAACAGAGTGGGCCAAAATGAGTAAAAAAAGCCAACAAAGTCATCCAATCTTTGCCTGAGAACGTCGATTTTTCAGGGTGGATTAGTGAAACAAATTACATAAAAAGGATTTCAACAGGCCCGCCTGCAACCTCGAGAACAAGGACAGCGATGGCCTTGGTTGCAGCCTCCGCAAAACCGAACGGCGTCGGCCACTGCAAGTGCCACCAGACGGCGGACGCTGTGTAAATCTGTCTGCTGGACAGATTAATAGCTACAGAAACACGAAAAATTGAGATTCTACCTTTATTCTTTTAGTTCCATTACCAGATTCCAGCACCGTTTTACGGTGTTTTAACACGCGCTCGAGTGGGGGGGGGGGCAAATTGACCCCCGGAAGGTTTTTCTAGAATGGTTTCCGAACGGTGAGGCGTAGCCGCGCCAAATGTTTGCATAGTTGTAGACCATTAAATAGCGGATTGTTTGGTGAAAAATTAGATGTACCTTATAAGGTGTAAGGTAAGATGTACCATGTAAGATGTACCTCGCTGACCTCTGGCAGGTCAAAGTCAGGCCATGGTTTAAGCAAAGTCATATAATGAAGATAATACAACAATTGAATGAGCAAACTGCATGGACCTAAGGTCAGGTATGAAGGTCAGTCCAAGGTTAAAACCAACCTGTTTTATTACTCTAGGGCTTGCTGCATGGGATAGTTTCTGGTGCTTATTTCAAATTTATTGATAGCATGAACCGCATTCTACATCTTCCATGGACTTCTTAGATGTCTGAATAGGTCATTGATCTAAAAAGACCCAGCTCCACATCTGGTTTTTAGGAGCATACTGCCTGGCGTAAACTTTGGCGCTTATTCATATACAAAGCTCACAGCAGTCTGGTCTGATTTTGGTCACCATGACCTTCAAAAGTTCAAACATTAAATGTCACTGGCATTAAATGAGCATGTGACCTTTTGCTTCAGAAACAGTTATCTAGGTTCTTGAGGCACTTTGAAGACCAACCAGGGATTTTACCTTGTTTGACCTTATTTGTCCCGAAGGTTATGACCTAGGAACTTTTTTGTTTGCTTGTTTGTTTGTTTTTGTTTTGTCTGCCAGTTTGTAGAAGCCCAGATAAAACATTCTGGCAAAACTTCTGAGTTTTATCGGTTCAGAAAGAGTTCACGAAGCCATTGTAAATTAAGGGCGCCGCTGATTTAATCCGTGCGGTCGTCCAACATCTGATTTCTTCAGTGCATTGACCAAAATACAAACAGAATTTATATCACGGTAGTTTCTGGTTTCTGTTTTGGTTACCAGATAAAATAACAATAAAAGAAAGAAAACCATGGACTTTGTCTCATTAGTGTTGAATGGAGTTGGTCGAAGTGACTTCAAAATGCGCAAGGCCAACCCATGTTTATCTGAGAAAGCTCATTATTTCGCAGAATCGACAAGTGAAACAAATGTCATCAAAAGGTTTGAGTCTCCGCGCCAGGTGTCGATAGTGTAGTGGTAAACAAGCGTATAGGGCACATCAGGTGCGGGGTTTGATTCCCCGCGATGTCCCGCCCTTGCCGCCGGGATGAGAGGCTAGCGGCCCAAGTAGTCCCAGCAGCTATGTGCGTCATAAAGCCTCAATGACACGACCGTAATCTCGGGGAGCCAGGATAGCGATGGCTTGAAAGCAGTTTTCGTAAAACAGAACGGCGCTAGTCACTGCAGGTGACGCCAGGTGGCGACCGTCGAGCGCGCAACAATGACCGTCGTAAAATATTGCCTCTGAATGCCTTTCAAAATTAATTCGCATAGTTCAAAGATAACACTGGGTGAATATTTTTTATGACACTGAAGTTGCTTCCCTGGACAGATTAACAGTTACAGCAACAAGGCAAATCGAGATTTTACCTTTACTCCTCCAGTTCCACCACAAAATTCCAGCACACTTCGCCGTGCTGTAAAGGCCAATGCGTTGTTGTCATCAACCTAAAACCTCAGAGGTGAAATTCACGCCCAGAATATCCCTAAATGTACGGTGAGGTGCCCAAAAGTGGTTCAATGTGCTTTTTTTAACATGCGTCACCATTTTTGTTCACCTGTTAGCTTCGGGCAGGGATCAAGTGGCTAGAAAATAATCCCTGCCACGACTTAGTGTTAGCCGCGAGGCCGAGCCCGCGTGGCCTAAGGAGACTGCAACGCCCGACGCCAAGTTTTTTTTTGTTACTAAGATATGCGAGCGCGCATGCTCAAAACTACGCTACGTAATTTGTACCACTAATCAATTCTGACTGAAAGTTGAACACATGCTGACAAACATGGTTTGGCCATGTTAATACAAATTGCTGACCCATTTTGATCTTCAGTCGGCATTCGCGGAATCCTTGCTACCTCTGTACAACACAGGTAAAAATTTTGACGAAGTTTCTGGGTTGCATCGGTTTGAAAAGCCCGCTCGACCATTGCAAAATAAAAAAACGGCGATGATTTATTGCATGCAGTCACTTAACGCTAAATTTTGTCATTTTATTTACCATAAACTTAAAGCACAACCGATCTCGCGATAACGTCTAGCCTATATTCCAGGTGTGGAAGGTAGAATGTGTACTGTGATATATATATATATATATATATATATATATATATATATATATATATATATATATATATATATGAATACATAACACATCCTTTAAACAAATGGGCCATATCCCGCGATTTCGGTGCCCTTTTACTATCGGGGGGCCCTTTAGGGGCCCCTGACCCCATGCTCAGGGGGTCCAGAGTTGCAGACAACTCCATGCTCCAAGCCTTTAGAGCTGGTCAGCACGAAATCTATACCGATTGATGTTCCAGGGTTTCATAACCTACATCCTTCCAAGTACATGGTGATCAAGAGCCATGTCAAAAGTCACCAAAAATACCAAGCAAGAAGAAAATAGTTTTGCAGACAACAAATGCTCGGGAGTCAATGAAACTGGTCAGCAAACGTCTTCACGAATGGACGCACCATATTCGATATCCACCCTCCCCAGAGCATGGTGACATTTGTTCAGGGAAAATGTCACCAAAAAGGCCTCAAACGAACACAATTTGGCTGCAGATTACCGTATGTTGCGAGCCTTTGGAACCAGTCTGCACAAAACCTTTGCCGATCGAGGCGGCATGGTCGATAACCTGCCCTTTCCGAATCCTGGTGACGTGTGGTCAGATCAAAGATTACCAAACTATTTCTGAATGATCTTCGGTGGTTTCAGCTGTTTTTGGAGGTATCTGCCCTGAAGCAAGGTCACCATCTTATATACAATATTGGTTAACGACTATGGTGCATGGATTGGTAAACATTTTGCATCAATCTGTCCTATAGGTTCGGAGCGTACTATTTTCTGCAGCCAATTTTTGTGGTTTGGGGCGTCTTTGACGATCTTTGACCTGATCCCAGATCAGATATTCTAGAAATGATAGGTTAGTGGCTGTGGCACATCGATTGGTTAAGGTTCTATGCCGATCAGTTCCATAAGCTCGGAGCATGAGGATATCCACATCCCTATTTTTTGTTTGTTGGGGTATTTTTTGGGTAACACTTGAACTGACCCAGGGTCACCATGCCCTGGAAAGATGAGGTTATTGATCATGACACATCGATTGGTAGAGCTTTTGTGCCGATCAGTCCCAAAGGTTCCGAGCGTTGGGTTGTCTGCGAACTAATTCCGGCTGGTATTGGCCGTTTTGGTGACTTTCGACGTGACCCGAGGTCATCATAGTTTGAACAGCATTGGACATTGACACATTTGTTACAAAAGGTTTGGTGTTGATCAGTACCATGGGCTCAGAGCGCAGGGCTGTCTGCAGCCCTATTTTGCGGTTTTCGGTATATTTGGCGATTTCTGACCTGATCCAAGGCCACCACATTCTAGACAGGATAAATTGTCAATCAGGTAGTATGGAATCGTGTAGGTTTAGTGTCATTCAGTGCCATGGGCTCGGACTACGTGCTTGTCGAGAGGTATGATCGGTCTGAGGTGCCTCCTGTCATTTAGTCCCTAATATGCCCTCACTTCACCTGAGCCTTGACCCATATCGGAAGTTGTTTACGCATGTGACTGTTGAGTTACAATAGTGCGTCGCTGAATTCCTGGGTTGTGCGCGGCAGGCACTTTGCTGCGTGTAATTTTACTACGGAGGCCAAATTTGACAAGCCATGGATTATGTCGAAGATTCGGGGGGTGAGTATTAGGTCAGCTGAGCTGAAGCACGATGCCGCGGGGCTTATGCAGGCCAGCTAATTGCCAGGTTATTGGAGGTGATGGTCGTTATGCGCAGAAGGATGCTGTGACATGTTATGATTTAAGTAACTGTCAAACCTTTGATGTTTCAAGAGAACAAACTTGCAGTTCAGGCATATTTTCCTTTGATTGTATAGTGTGTGCCTGACTTATGAATGACATGGATCAACCTGGCACAAAATGTAACACAGTTAAGGAATCAGTCACCTCACTTATGTTGATGTTTGAATATGTGAGGCAGATTTTGCTCAACAGATACCACATAAGCATACCCAATAAGACACAGATAGATTGCAGACTAGCTTGAATGTGTTTATTAAAAGTAGCAAACAATACATAAGAAACAAAATTGACTGAATAGACAAAGTAAGTCTGGAATGGTCATATTGATAGTGCTCATCAACATCTGGTGGTCATAGGTATTGGCATGTTCATGTGATGCAATCCTGCTGTTTTATGTCTACTGATTATCTTGAAATAGTGGTCTGATATATTCAACTTGTTTTGTTGTAAAAAGTGTGTGGAAAACCTATCATCACCAATGTGTCTGGTTTTAAGTTTATCTCTCAATATATTTATGTTTAACATAAATTTTCTCTGTTTCAATAGATGTGTTTCTTACATCATTTGTCTTCTGAAGCAAATTATTTCATTAAAAACAGAAGAGCAGGTGATTTGTTGTGCAGTGTAATCACCACGCTTTGGCACTGGAAAACTAAACCTAAAACCATTTTCAGCTTTCTGTTGAGTAGTTAGTGGAATTTACTTTTTGCAAGTTTTGTGATTCCTGCAAATTGAGCTAGCCCAGTTTAATATTTTTGTTGTATATTTATTATTTCAGTATTGGATGTTTGTTGAAATGCATGAGGGAAAATGCAGATAATAACCAATAGGTAGCTACAGGTTTGCCCCCTTTACATGATAAATACAATTCAATTCCTTGCCTGTGGCACTGGGCTGTGTGTTTGCTCTTAGTAGTCTCTGGGTGCCCAAAGCTTTCCATGGCATGGGCAGGTCTGATGCCCATCTGCTGCCATCAGCCTCTGCCAGCCACCAGAGGTTCGTTCCGCGAGCGGCAGATGTCGCCAGCAGCGGGCTGCTCCCTCCCCTCCCCCTCCCCCGGTCCAGGCGTGTTCCAGTCCAGACGCCGCACCAGGACGTCCCCAGTCAGTCGTGCCCCCGCTCTCGCCGGCAGCCATGGTGACGGCCGACCAGGTACCGGAGGTGGAGCGACGCCCGCTGACGGCGCCCGCCAATCAGGTGCTCATCAAGACCTACAAGCGGCGCTGGTACATTCTGGCCGTCTACTCAGCGCTCGGCTTCATGCAGGTGCGGTGGCAGCTGCCGACGCGCTACTGGGCACGGGCAGCTGGTCTTCTTCCAAGCCACCGCCTGCGATGTTAACGCATGAAGAGTCGCCGTAGGCCGCTATCAGGGAATGGCGGGCATGAAGGGGCCATATGTGGGACGTAGTTGCGGTAAGCAGCCGACGGAGCGCCTGAGCCTTTCCAGTCCGTCCTCCCATTGAGCGCGGACCCTCGGCCATTACCGTGTCTTGCGTCCCTGAGTCGGGTGTATGACCCCGCTCCTGTGGCAGGGTGGAAGGGGGGGGGGGGGGGCAGGGGCGCATCGCCACCGACGCACGGCCCATCTCGTGTGGCGGGTGCTGGCGGTGAGGGCTGGATCGCAATGGTTCCGTGTCTCGCGGCGGCCGCCGACAGCTGCCCGGCTCGCCCAGCCGTTTGGTGCGCAGCCGAGCGGCGTGTGGCGCCGCACTTGCGTAGTCCAGTGATAGCACTTGACGGGGCATGCTGTGTGGTGTACCAGTGACACTGAACAACACCCGTATAGCTCCAGTGCCGACCAAGGAACGAGTTCACGAGCCGTGGAGAGTACAGAACCATAACCGACACCCTCAACTCGTATAGTCGTGTCCCTGCGCGCTGCTGTTGCACGTCAACAGATGGAAGAGACCACATGCTACTCCAAATGGTGACATAAGGGCGCCATCGAGTCAAGCCCTTTGTCCTCACACGGTGCAGAAGAAACCGTGTGCGGGCGGGCGAGCGAGGCAGCGCCAGCGGACGCGCTTCCGCAGCAAGTTCGTAGAATGTCACCGGAACTCAAGAGTGCGCATGCACGATATCTCTGACGGAGCGTTGATGACGCAGCTAGATATGGGATAGCCGAGACGCCGCACACGTCTGTCAGAGCCGGGATGGGGCTGGGACACTGACAGCTGAAGCACGTGGTGCTGAGTGAGCACCGACCACCGCCGGGCGCACGGTTGGGTACGGCTTCCTCGCCGCCGCCTCCCACGGCCGGTACCGATCGGGAGCCCGCATTTATGTCCGCTGGCGTGTGATGATCACCCGCAAATTTGATCTGACAGCGGGATAGCGACATCGCCGATACGACAGCGGGGTAGCGACATCGCCGGTACGACAGCGGGATAGCGAAATCGCCGATACGACAGCGGGATAGCAACACCGCCGGTACGACAGCGGGATAGCGACATTGCCCGTACGATAGCAGATAGCGTCATCGCCGATACGACAGCGGGATAGCGACGTCGTCGGTACGACAGCGGGATAGCGACATGGCCGATGCGACAGCGGGATAGCGACATCGCCGATACGACAGCGGTATAGCGACATCGCCGGTACGCTTGCAGTCAGCGAAAATACGGCAATTTGACGTCACAAAGGTCCCGCGCACGTCGTATGAAATAATCGCGCCAAGCATCTCCAATTTCGACGCAGGAAAGGCACAGCTGTGAACAAGTGTGTATGATAAGGGCACATGGGGCACATGTTCTCAAACATTTTGCCTGCCCGCAGAGATGGAGTGCTTCTTGACCCCGTGTCTTAGAAGAACGCTCAGTCCATGACGTCAGCCGTTTGGGGTCGTAGTGCGTGGCTGGCTATCGTTGGCGCAAGAAGTTGAGGGAAGTGTCTGTGGTGTTGGAGCAGTGGCGATATTCGTTTTAGCAAGCAGCCTGTGAGACTTTTTCTATGATCTGGCTTTAAAGAGATCGTGGGGATCATGATTATTTCTCTTCTTAATCGTCACGTTTCCTGCAACCAAATGTGGAACAGCATATAAAAACATGCCGCTCACTATAAGGTGTCAGGCTTCATCACCAGCCGTCACTGGGATGAAGAAAATGGATTTAGCTGACGTACGTAAGGTAATGCATTGTCTTATGACAATAACCCCTATAATAACCCTTATGACACACTTCGATAGGTTTCATCGACTACCTTGTACTCAAATTGTCTGCTAGCAAAACCTTGCGGATCATCGCGTTAACGCGATGACTGCAGAAATAGTGTTGATCTTAGAGCGGATGAGCCAGGACAAGTTCTGGTAATCTGTGTCCTTCGCCGCGTACGCCGATGCGACTCGCGATAGCAGCCTTTTACCCGGCCACTGGTATGTTGATCAGCAAACTTCCATCGAATCCCTTGACCGGGGCGACGGTTACTCGCGCTAGACGTAAACAGTCTGTCTAAGATGCCCCCAATTGCCTCTGTCCCCGCGCCCCTCTCATGACGCCGACATTACATCAGCCGCCGTGCGGGTATGGGGCTTGGTTGGCGGCCAGAGGTCAGTTTTGCGTGGCACAGGTTATCTAGATGTGAGCCGGATGTTTATGTGTATACCTTTGTGACAGCAGACTGTTCTTTGTCGTGTAAACATGTCCAAGAACACCACGCACATACACCGCCATGGTTTCATGCCTATCACTCTACCTATGGTTTATGGTTTTAACTTGGCCGCAGAAAAAGATACCGTCGCAGGCCTAGGGGTGGTGGTGGTGGTGCCACTTCGGAGTTCATGTCGTGTAGTGCAACGTGATGATATGGTTAAAGTACCCCTCCGCGTCGATGGAGCAGATCACCTGGTGAACTTCGACGAGTCACGGCGACTGCTGCTGGCAGTGCGCGAGTCTGGCGTCCCGGGAGCATTTCCAGTCATTTGATGCTGCGACCGGAGCATCCGTCGCTCTTCCGCTGGATGGAATAACTTACGCTTCATCTGACCAGCTATGTTGATAGAAGAGGAGAGACCGTTACGTCGTCATGTGTAAGTTCGAGCTGATGAGAAAAAGCAGCTTTCGCTGGAACAAAAAGAACAGTTTTTATCGGATTAGTATGAAACATAAGCCTGATATTTCCCAGAAAGCTGCAAGACGTTCCTGCGCACCGTTGTGCGAGGACAGCGTGCAGTAGGGAGAAGTCCATGCACGGTCGGCCGTTGCAGGAGCGGTTCTCAGCCTGCAGTCTCCAGGCCACGAGCGGGGGCGCAGATCCCTGGCGCTGCCGCCGGGTCGGGCGCGGAGCACGGGCTGTCGTGGTGTGTAAGGGGGGGGGGGGGATCTGTCGGGTGCTCCGGACGGGTGTGGTGGTCTGTTGGCTGCTCCGGCCGGGTGCGGTGATCTGTCGGGTGCTCCGGACGGGTGTGGTGGTCTGTTGGTTGCTCCGGACGAGTGCGATGATCTGTCGGGTGCTCGGGACGGGTGTGGTGGTCTGTTGGTTGCTCCGGACGGGTGCGGTGATCTGTCGGGTGCTCCGGACGAGTGTGGTGGTCTGTTGGTTACTCCGGACGGGTGCGGTGATCTGTCTGGTGCTCCTGCCAAGTCAGGCACCGAGCTCGTGTTGCCGTGGTATGTGACGGGTATGTATGAGCTCGTGCTGCCGTGTTATATGACGGGTATGTAGGAGATCGTGCTGCCATGGTATGTGACGGATATGTATGAGCTCGTGCTGCCATGGTATGTGACGGATATGTATGATGATGGCCAAGACAGGAAATATGGACCTTCTGGGTGTATGAAAGGTGCCTGATATACCCCACCTATCAGTGGCGTTTGTGATGGACGCTTACGTTCTTGCCACATCGCGTTCTGTCATTGTAGTAGAGGAAAGATATCCTGAGTGACGGGTATGTATGAGCTCGTGCTGCCATGGTATGTGACGGATATGTATGATGATGGCCAAGACAGGAAATATGGGCCTTCTGGGTGTATGAAAGGTGCCTGATATACCGTACCTATCAGTGGCGTCTGTGTTGGACGCTTACGTTCTTGCCACATCGCGTTCTGTCATTGTAGTAGAGGAAAGATATTCTGAATGTCGTGGCCGAGTGGACGTAGAATGGCGTGTTCCGAGCACAGACTAGCTTGCGGACTGCGCTTTGTTATGCGAGAGCAACCCTGTGGTGCTGTTATGGCAGTGGTGGAGCATCTTGCTGGACAGGTTCCGAGAAGTCTTTGAGTGGCAGAAAACACCTGACAGGCGTCAAGCACCAAAGTGAAAAGTGGTATTTCTCTGGTTAGAGCAGCTGCCATGAAAACCCGCGCTCTGCGTCCAAGAAAGCGAGCTCTCTGTGGGCGCCTCCAGAGGCCGTGCTGGCTCGCTGACGTATGGTCTGTACGCCTGAAGGCGGCTTCGGGCCCACCGCGCTCCATGCAGTCAGGTCGTGTGCACCCGAGAGCGCTGAACTTCGACCGGTCTCCAGCACCCCGGACTGCGTCCCGCCGCCGCCGCCGCCGCCGCCGCCGCCGGCCTCTCCCTGGGACGCGCGGCCCGTCCTCACTGGAACGGTCCCGCGACCGGCTGGCCGGCACCGCTCCCCTGGGGCCAAGGAAACCGAGATCACCTCTACTGGGCGGGCAGACACAGAAAACGGACTGAACGCAGCGATGAGTCTAATGTAATGTCCATTGCAAGTGGCGCACTCCTACTGAACGCGTATGAGGCGTCTCGCGAACGTTAGGGGGCTATTTGTGCTGGCTGGCGCTCGCTTGCAGAGCCGGATGGGCTGTCATGGGTTCGGTGAACATGACCCTGGACGTCGGCTGGGTGGTGACGTCATGCCAGACGTTGCCGTGGTAACAGCCTGTCTTCGAACGTTATCTACCAGGGCACATGGTTGACTATAAACTGACTGAAGGGCATGCAACGTCCTTGCCCATATGGCTGGTAGGTGAGCAAGCGACGACAGTCTCAGCGATTTGGGGTGCGGGACAGGAGCAGTGGGACCGCGGGTCCCACCGTTGGCCGGTCAGTTTCCCTTGGTCAATGATCACGGAGCGACCGAGGTCGAGCAACCATTCTCAAAAATGAATTGAAGTACGGAGGCACATCCAGCACCGTCGCAGCCGCGTCCTGAGAGGTGGCTGCGACGGTGCTGGATGCGTGCGGAACCAAATATCGCAAGGTGCTCATGTGTTATCCCTCGCTCGTCGTGTTCATGCATGCTCCGTTATGGCGCTGTTCTTAAGTTATTCGGTTACAGGTCTTATTACTGTGATAACTAGGAAGAACGTATAACTTCTGGCATCATGCAGCACAAAACGCTATTATAAGTCCTGCATAGCGTGCACAACATTGGTTTAAAGCTAATTAGACGGCAGTTATGCTTCGGAATTGTACTTACGAACGTCAGATGTGAACGACACGACAGTTATAGCTTAATTGACATTGAAAACCGCGCGGTCAGTGGATGGTAGGATTTGAACAGTATTATTGCGGCGTCCTGAATACCCTGGTAATCTCGAAATGGTTCGCACGACACAGTCTGCTCACCTTCGCGGGTGTGCAGCTCACAAACTAGAGGGTTTTAGGTTTTAAGATGGGCAGGGCTGTGAACTGTACCGAACGATCTTCAAGCTGGCCATATCAGTTCAAAACCCCACACAAATGTGGTACACTCCCTTTAAGGCGGTTCTCTCTCCCCACGACCGCATATTCGATCTAATCCCTACCCGACCCAAATCAACATAAATATGCCGTTTTTGAGACAATGTTAGCCCGGAAACTGGCAGCAGCTAGGCCAGAACTCGGGACGGGAGAATTATTGAACCAGGTGGTCAGACGGGTGCTGTCCTGTGATGGCAGATTAAGCTGGAGCAGGCCGGCGCTGCGCAATATGGCAAAAGACACGGAAATCACTAGGGCTAGCCATGCGCCGTTTGTCCGGCGCGGGCACAGCCAACCTTCCACAGTTGGCGGCCCGACAGCTCCGGGTTGCGGGATCGTGCCGTCATAGGTTCAGCCAACCGGCTGCCCTAAGCCCGCACTTTTTTCTTTAATCGCCACAGATTACTTTTGACAGAAGGCCCGACATCAGCGTGGTGAGTCTTCACCGAGCTCCGACCAAATTCTGCCCCCCCCCCCCCCCCCCCCCAGGTGAGCCACCTCAGCCGGTGCCGCCCCGCCGCGCACGCGATCCTGCGGCCCGACGCTACGCGCGGCGCCGCCACCAGCCGTCGCGTAACCATTCCGCTTTTTTGCGTGTAGGTAGGAATGTGGGTGTGTATGCGTGTAGATCTGCGTCCCGCAGTGTGAGGACAAGTCGTGAGTAAGCTGCAAAGTGTCGCCATCTCAGTGGAATGTCGGGCTGTAAGCCATCAGTGGGTGTCGCTGGCACGGGGCCTCAGCCGGGCTCTGCGCAGGGTCAGCAGGACCGCACGCCCCCTGTTTACGCGCGTCGCCTCTGGGCAGCCGTCTGGTGTCGCGTCTGGGGACTCTTCATCGACGGACTGTCCGCCCGCGCTGGGGACGGCACTTCACGCGCGCCGCCGGCGGCTGGCGGTGGCGGCCACAGGGGCGCAGTCAGGGTAATCGACTGGGAGGGATATGATGAGGCGGAGCCAGTCGCGTTCTCTCCTGGGTGTCAGCTCGGGTTGACACCAGACTCCCTCCGTTAATGAATTAGGCCTGCGCCGTCACTGAAATTCTGGCCGCGGGTCTGTCCGGCATGTCTTCAACAAATAATCAGAACAGCTTCGTCTACATATGTTTATTCATATCTCGATTTGGCCGGCTAGCAACTTGTCATGGATTATCAGTCATGGCCAGCGCATGCCCTCAAGTAACATCTCAGTTTATCAGCATGTGCTGCATGGGCCATATTCGCCGCATGGTCCCGCCAATTTCAAAAGGTGAACCGTTATCGACAGCAGATCATCTCCGAGACGGTGTATCTGAATTGGATTTTCTAAATAAATCAAATTTTCAAAATTTAAACTGAGGATGCGGCTTATTGTGTTGCATTCGAATTTGAGTCAGAAGTCAACAGTGTGCCATGGATGCGCTAATGCTCCTGCGGCTGATGCCACCGGAGCGACCTATGTATTTTATATATGTATTTTCGCTAGACGCCAGTCCACCAGCAAATATGGGCTCGCCCCATACCGATGTGCGGATGGAGGGATCACTTGGAGATCGGCGTAGCGGCAACTCTTTGAAGTTGTGATGACAGATACGTCATAAATATCCGTGACACTGATTGACAGCATTTGTCTCTTTCCCGGAAGTGCCATTTTTGTGCTGTGAAGCGTCTGCTTAGTTTTTTCTCCACCACGGGGCTCTATGGCCTGGTAGCCCGACGCACTATCTGCTGCCGCTGCAGTGAGTTACAAAAAGTCACGCGCTCTGCTGGCGCGGCCCACTTCGCGACCAGCTGGCACTTTTTCACCGGCTTAGTCATCACAGTGTCGGACGGGGCTGACATGGCGCTAACCAGGCTCGTCGCTGTCGCGTGCGGACCCGCCGGCGACTCTGTGAGCCGCCCCGGCGTCAGGCCGGCACGGCACGGGAGGCGGCCGCGCTGGGCACGGCACGGCAGTCGGCCGCGCTGGGAACGTCACGGCAGCCGGCCGCGCTGGGCACGGCGCAGCAGTCGGCCGCGCTGGGCACGGCATGGCACGGCAGCCCGCCGCGCTGGGCACGGCACAGCAGTCAGCCGCGCTGGACACGGCACAGCAGTTGGCCGCGCTGGACAAGACTCAGCAGGCACAGCGCGTAGAGGCCTGCTCTATGTACGGCTGTGTCGTGTCCAGCCCGCAGCGCTGGCCATTGTAGCTACCGCTGTGTCGGCTCGCGACGTGCACGTTTGCGGGTGCCTGTCAGAGCCGCCCCCTGATCGTGTCCTGCTCCCTGACTGTGGACTGTGCCCCCCTGGTCGTGTCCTGCTCCGTGACTGTGGACTGTGCCCCCCTGATCGTGTCCTGCTCCCTGACTGTGGACTGTGCCCCCCTGGTCGTGTCCTGCTCCCTGACTGTGGACTGTGCCCCCCTGGTCGTGTCCTGCTCCCTGTCTGTGGACTGTGGCCCCCTGATCGTGTCCTGCTCCCTGACTGTGGACTGTGCCCCCCTGATCGTGTCCCGCTCCCTGACTGTGGACTGTGCCCCCCTGATCGTGTCCTGCTCCCTGACTGTGGACTGTGCCCCCCTGGTCGTGTCCTGCTCCCTGACTGTGGACTGTGCCCCCCTGATCGTGTCCCGCTCCCTGACTGTGGACTGTGCCCCCCTGATCGTGTCCCGCTCCCTGACTGTGGACTGTGCCCCCCTGGTCGTGTCCTGCTCCCTGACTGTGGACTGTGCCCCCCTGATCGTGTCCTGCTCCCTGACTGTGGACTGTGCCCCCCTGATCGTGTCCCGCTCCCTGACTGTGGACTGTGCCCTCTAACGTCGCGCTCTGGGGCGGCGACGGGCCGCAGCGCCACCGGCGTTTCCAACGCACCTTGCGCAGCTGGCGGTCCCCGTCAAGGAGGTGGTGCGCGACAGACCCGTGTGACCCTGCTCTGTCTGCGTTACAGTGCGCCATCTGGAACACGTGGGGCCCGATCACAGAGGCGGCGCTGGTGGCATTCCCCGGCTGGGGAGAGCTGACCATCTCCAGTCCTCACCAACGTGGCACTCATCGGCTTCATCGTGTTCATGGCGCCCTACTGCTGGCTGCTCGACAAAAAAGGTGATGTCGTGCCGTGGTCGCCGGTCTGTCGTTGGCACTCCATCGGTCCCCACCGGTCCCCATCGGTCCCCACCGGTTCCCATCAGTCCCCATCGGTCCTCCATCGGTCCCCACCGGTTCTTATCAGTCCCCATCGGTTCTTTATCGGTCCCCATCTGTCCATATCGGTCCCCACCGGTCCCCACCTGTCGCGCGTCGGGCCAGCGCGGAGGAGCGAGCCCGGTCGTCCGGTGATGAACGGGACCTAGCGGGACGAGAGGAGAGAAGCTGGCCAGCTCATCCAGCGGATCGAGTGACTCACATGGACGGAGTCTGGCTTAGAGTGCGAATGTAAACGAGATGAGCGGACATGAACGAGGAATGCGTCGCTCCTGCACAGGTGAATCAATGCCACGCTGTGCGCGTCACTTATGACGGGCGGGCTGCTGGTGTGTTTTTCGGAAGCCGTTCGGCGTCGGAGCACATCGAACCGGCCGGCTATGACCGGATGGACTGCTACCTGTCGGCCTGTCGGCTGTGACCGGACGGACTGCTACCTGTCGGCCTGTCGGCTGTGACCGGACGGACTGCTACCTGTCGGCCCGTTGGCTGTGACCGAGCGGACTGCTACCTGTCGGCCTGTCGGCTGTGACCGGACGGACTGCTGCCTGTCGGCCTGTCGGCTGTGACCGGACGGACTGCTGCCTGTCGGCCTGTCGGCTGTGACCGAGCGGACTGCTGCCTGCTGACTGTGATGGACGGACTGCTGCCTGCCGGCCTGCCGGCTGCATTGGGGCGGTCTTTGTTGACAATGTTAGTCATCATTGGCGCGAAAGGGAATCCTTTGAGATTGGTGGTGTCTTCTGACGGGAAATGAAGCTCGGGCGTCATAGCATGCGTGCTGCGTGGGTCACGTGACTTCCGTGTGCTGCCTCACTTCGCCTGGTCGTGCCTCTTCGCAACATGCAGAGTGGCGGCGCACAGGGCCTAGGGTGACCGGCGCGGCCTGACCAGGCTCCACTCTGTGAGTGACCTTCGCCTGGCCGACCTTTCTGATTATGCCTTGGGTGCCAGAGCGCGACGAGACGTGACAGTGCTCCAGAGGCAGACGTGGTGTCTGGTGTCGGGTGAGAGGCCAGACTTCAGAGCCAGACCTGGTGTCTGGTGTCTGGTGGGAGGCCGGTGGTCGTGTGGTGACCTTGCCCCGTCCTGTGCCATGGTGAGGAGATCCCGACGGTATTTCTGGACTGAATTGGGTCCCGTGGGGAGGGAAGTATGCTCGTAATTCGCTCTCCGATGTTGTGCTGTGGTGAGCTTTCTGTGTTGGCACTGGGGTGTGGTCCGATGCTGTGCCTTGGTAAGGTTACCGTCTTGGCAGCTCCCGACCCGCTAGGTGCTGTCGTGAGCAGAAATGTGCCTGGAGCCCCGCCCCCTCCCGGGGTGGCCACGCTGGTGACCGCCGGTGGTCTGTGCTGTGCCGCAGGCGTCCGCCCGGCCGTGGTGCTGATGGCCGCCTGTTTGGCGGTGGGCACCGCTCTGCGCTGCGTCACACTACACCAGCCCTTCTTCAACATGTCAGTACCCCGCTAGCCGGGCGCGCGGCACAGGTACGCCACCCAGCGGCGCCGGCGGCTCCGCTGACGCCGCCGGCGCTGGCCCGGCGCGGCGCCGGCCGCTCGGCACCGGCCGCTCGGCTCCGCCCCCGGCACCGCCCCCGGCAACGCGCTCTGGCACAATACAGGCGATAAGCAGGCATTCGCCAGACGTCCGCATCTGCTTGACAGCGAGTTATTCTTGTGTGGGCGAAGTCGGTGCATGGACAGCTGGCGGGGGATAAGTATGTCTTGTTTAATGTACGGTTTGATTGTGTGGTCATGATATGGACTGATTTCGTCACGGCTTGTTTTTATGTGGGCGCGTGCATGCGTACTTGCGCGTGATGGTTCGGCACAGAGATCGAACACCGGTCAAAACTGCATGCCTTTGCCAGCCGTTTTCTGTGTGGGTATTGGACAGCAAGTTTTGCCTACAGCCTTCGCGTAAAATGTGCACAGCAGTTGCGCGAGTAGGCCCGAGGTTTACTACATCGCGGTTGTCTGCAAAGGGTTGGCGAACTGAACAAACCGGTATTTGTCCAGGCCGCAGTGTAACCGCACTGCTGTTGTGCCGAGTGTGGTGTTTCAACCGCAACAACGGCAGACGGTGCCTGTGGCGTGTCCTTGTCCGGGGTTCGTCGGCGGGGTCAGGCCAGGTGAGCGGCGCCGCCAGGTCCGCGCTCTGTCGCGTCAGTGTCGTGCGCTGTCAGTGGGGGGCTCGCCGCGCCGCTCGGGCCAGGCCTGCGGGACCTGCACTGCTCCCCGCTCCACAGACGGCCGGCCGGCCAGCCTCCCCTCCCGGCGCCGCCAGGTCCGCGCTCTGTCGCGTCAGTGTCGTGCGCTGTCAGTGGGGGGCTCGCCGCGCCGCTCGGGCCAGGCTTGCGGGACCTGCACTGCTCCACGGACGGCCGGCCAGCCTCCCCTCCCGGCGCCGCCGCCCCATCGGCAGCGTGCTGCGTCCCCCCGACCCATGGCCCGCTGGTGCCCACCTGTCCGCCGCTCACTGGGCCGCCGCCCCATCGGCAGCGTGCTGTGTCCTCCCGACCCATGGCCCGCTGGTGCCCACCTGTCCGTCGCTCACTGGGCCGCCGCCGCTGTGTTGCAGATTCGCGTTCATCGCGGCGGTGTTGACGGGCGTGGCCGGTATAATGGCGATGGCGGCGCCGCCCTACATCTCGGCCATGTGGTTCGCGCCCCACCAGCGCACCACCGCCACCGGTACGTGCCCCCCCCCCCTCCGCTCTCCCCTCTACCCTGTCCTAGGCCACTACCTGATGGGCACGGTGCCTGGCCGCTGTGAGAGCCAAGCTGCTATTGGGTGTCGCGCGACCAGTGTTGGGTATCGACACGTACTCAGTGGCCAGAAATGAAACTATGTTGCTTCTCGTCTGTCAGGAGTTCTCCCCAGACTGGATGTCACCAGTTATTCGAGGCATTACAAAGGAGGGCAATTGTAGACTTATTTGGATTATTGTCCTAACAGTGTAGTGTTTTTTTTATGTGCATAACATTTGCCTAGCGTTTTACCCGGGTTGTCCTCAATCGTCCCTGAGCAGTCTCAAGCCTCGTGTGGGATGGCCGCCGTCGTGTCGTCCTCAATCGTCTCTGAGCAGTCTCAAGCCTCGTGTGGGATGGCCGCCGTCGTGTCGTCCTCAGTCGTCCCTGAACAGTCTCAAGCCTCGTGTGGGGTGTCCGTCGTCGGTCAGCACCAGCCCCCTCTCTTCCTGTCACCGCCCCTGCGCCGGCCGGGCGGGACCCAGCAGGTGGTTCCTCCGTCACCGGCTGACGCGGCGGCTGCTCCCGGGCCCTCTCCCTGTCACCACTTCTGCGCCGGCCGGGCGGGACCCGGCAGGTGGTCCCTCCGTCACCGACTGACGCGGCGGCTGCTCCCGGGCCCTCTCCCTGTCACCGCCCCCGCGCCGGCCGGGCGGGACCCGGCAGGTGGTTCCTCCGTCACCGGCTGACGCGGCGGCTGCTCCCGGGCCCTCTCCCTGTCACCGCCCCCGCGCCGGCCAGGCGGGACCCGACAGGTTGTCTCTCCGTCACCGGCTGACGCGGCGGCCGTGCTCGGCAGGCATCCCGAACGTGCTGAACCAGCTGGGCATGAGCGGCAGCTTCCTGCTCGGACCGTTGGTCGTCGCGCAGCCCAACAAGACGGCGCCGCTGCCGCATAACGTCACGCAGCTGGCCGGTGAGTGGGGCGCGCTCCATGACCGTCCCGAGCCTGGTGCAGCCTGACAGGGGCGGCGACCTCTTGAGGACGTCATCTGTTGTTATGGAGCACAAGTCCTCTACGATGCGAGGTCATCGTCGGAGCCGTTGGTGCTGTCCTGAAACTGCAGTGTATGCCTGTTGTCGTGTTTGTCACGGCATGTAGTGCTTGTGCAGCGGCGGGTGCAGGTGTGCTCCCCCGACTTGACGGTGTGTGTGTGCGCCTGGTTCGTGACCTGCTGTGACCTGTCCGTGCAGCGATGGTGAGCGAGGCGGCCGGCTGGATTAATCACCTGGTGGACGGAGCCAACTACACGAACGGCACCGGCCCTAGCCCCGACGACCTGCGCTCGGACATCATGAACCTCATGTACATCGGTCAGTGGGCGCCGCGAGGCCGGCCACTCGTGCCAGGTTACGCGGCGAGAGGGCAGGGCCCTCTCAAGTGCAAGTTCCGCCCGATTGTGGGTCAGAAATTGGGGTCGTTTCTGAGCTTTCGTGTGTCTGTCGGTGGCAGTAGAGTGTGTGTTATTTGTGACGGCAGTTGGGCATGTCATGGTCACCGGTCATGGTCATCCGGATGGTCATTCTAACTCAGTGTGTGATCGTCGATCCGATGTCACGAACTTCTACGATCTTGTAGACACCTGAGGTTGTCTGGCTTTGCCGTACCGTTAATGCTCATCCTCGTCCCTGGGGGGGGGGGGGGGGGGGCTAGGGACCGTGACTTATTTCGTTGCCTTTTGCCCTCACTCAACGAGGAGCAGCAAAGGAATCGTCTAGATTTGGGCTCATCATGCCAGTCATTCTTCCGAGAGCTCCGAATCTCGCCCGTTCGCTGACTGCGTTGATACACCGTCTCGATCGAGCACGGAGGGGTCGTGGCACACCAGCTGTGTGGGTGAGCGTGCGGCAGCGGTGAGACGAGGCCGCCCTCATCAGTCGTCGTGACCGCGCCGCGGCTGATCACATCTGTACAGGCCCCCGTCACGGGGCACGCGACGCGGCCCGGACTGAGCGCGGACAAGTTTATTGAACGGCAGACTGTTTGTGTGACCCACATTGGTCATTAAGTGTACGCCGTCTGGCTGTAGCTGCACTTCAGTGGATTTGCTACACGCTCGAGTGCGAGACGCCGCGCCGTTTGTGGTCACATGCCGCGGACTTTGGTCGTCCGGCACACCGCGCGTTGTCAATTGTTCCACGAGCATGTACTGGTCCAAACCAGCCGAATTCCGACGATTCCGGTATTGCCAGATGGTGATTATCGTGACGGGCTAAAAGAAGCCGTCCCACAGCTTGTTCAGAGTCATCGCCGAAGCCATTTCCATCCCAAAGCCGTTTTCATCCCCGAAGCCATTTTCATCCCCGAAGCCATTTCCATCCCCGAAGCCATGACGTCTCCGACGCCGTCCCCACGGATCGTACAGTCAGACGAAGAAGACTGGCTATCGTTCGATCACTGGCTATCGTTCAGCGTTCAGTCGCGGAGTGTTTGTATGTGGGTCAGTGGCTGGAATCTGACAAGGCCGCCAGCTGGCCTGCACTGCGCCACACAAAACTGATCCGCCGCACGGCCGGCTGGCGTGTGGCCTCCGTCAGCGCCTCTCTAACCCCTCTGTATAGACGTGGCAGCACGGGGCCTCGCGGCAGCGCCCAGCCGGCGAGTCCGACGGCACTCGTTTTTATGGTGACAAAAGTTACATGTGATGCAGTTTAAGCTGCATTATTCGATTATCATGATGCACGGATGTTAACGAGTGGCGTACGTCGGCTATAGTCACGCATTTATTGTCATGTTTGATGTGTTTTTGGTCTTGTCTTAATTATGCATGGTCTTTTTCCCCTAACATGGAACAGTCAAATCAAACGCAGCCGCTGCCAGAATATTGTCTTTGGCATGGCGATGCATGTCACCATACAGATAGAATGTATGAAGACGCGGCGACGTACCCCGTGCCCTCCCTTGCTGCCAGGATGATGCGCAGACGATGGCAATATGGCGCCAGCAGCTGACTGCGACATGAAGCCCTAATGACAATAACTTTGCCCGTTTTCTGTAGTCGGCAATTTCCGTATTTCCATTCTGAGTCATTCCTAATGGAAACAATGATTTCGCTAAGGTTGTCACCCATCTTTCTTGAATTCCGCCTCGCGTGGTAAAAGAGGATCATCTTCGGAAAGAAAATAAAAGACTTTGAATAGCTCATCAGGCTGACACCACTTGTCAATGGTTTCTTCTTTGAAACATTGCTGTGAGCCCTTGGAGTGTGGATCTTCTGCAGAATGTCGGGTGTTTGTGAACTTTGACTGTTACGTTGTATATACGCCAAACTAGAGCTTAATTTTCATTAACAATCGCCTGTAAAGTGAACAGCGGCCGTATTTCTGTCATCATCCAAAGTTTTGTTTTCATTGGGAGACCGCGGACCCCGGCCGTGTTCCACGCAGTTTGAGCTTCGCTGCCCTTCACGGAGTATGCATGGCGCCAGTCTGGTCATGAAACCAGCCATGTTGAGCTCTGACCCGTCAGCTGTGGCCGTCCCCGGCGGCGCGGCTCCGGGGCTGACCTGCCTCCCTCTGCCGTGGCTGTGGACGTCCCGGGCGGCGCGGCTCCGGGCTGACCTGTCCGCCTCTGCCGTGGCTGTGGCCGTCCCGGGCGGCGCGGCCCCGGGGCTGACCTGTCCGCCTCTGCCGTGACTGACCTGCCCGCTGTGGCTGTTGGCGTGGGCGTCCCCGGCGGCGCGGCTCCGGCGCTGACCTGTCCGCCTCTGCCGTGGCTGTGGGCGTCCCGGGCAGCGCGGCTCCCGGGCTGACCTGTCCGCCTCTGCCGTCCCGGGCGGCGCGGCTCCGGGGCTGACCTGTACGCCTCTGCCGTGGCTGTGGACGTCCCCGGCGGCGCGGCTCCGGGGCTGACCTGTCCGCATCTGCCGTAGCTGTGGGCGTCCCGGGCGGCGCGGCTTCGGGGCTGACCTGCCGCCTCTGCCGTGCCGCCAGACGCTGCCATCTGCGCCCTGCTGTTCGTGCTGGTGCTGGCGTACTTCCCGTCGCGGCCGCCGCTGCCGCCCTCGCTCTCCGCCTCCACTAACACGGTCGGCTTCAAGGAGGGACTCTGCATGGCGCTCAGGTGGGTGCCCCCCCCCCCCCCCTCTGGGACCCAGCGTCGGTGGTGATCCATGCGTTCCCGGATGCGGAAGTGGCCCGTGCGTATGACTGTGTGCCTGCACAGATGCTGTCTAGTGTGCAGAAGTTTTACGGGGATGTTTACGTGCTGCTGTAGTAGTGGTGAGCTGAGGGCTACTGCCGTTCCGACACTGGGTCGGGACAGGCTCAGCCAGGTCAGTGGACACGCCATCGCCATGTAGCATAGAGGCTTCTGGTACAGGAGCTTCAACATGGCGCTGCACGTGCTGCCCCGGCTAGCTGTGTGCTGCGCTAGATCTGTGCTCCAGCGTATTTATCACGTAACCGGTGAAGAAGCGCCCATTTGTTCGAAAGTCATAGAAAACCAGCACGCGTCCTAAGCATGTGGCGCGTGGCATAAGGCGCTGTGCGTTCCTTGTGCGGCCGGTGACCGTCAGAGAGCTGTGCGTGCCGTGTGTGGCCGGCGACCGTCAGAGAGCTGTGCGTGCCGTGTGTGGCCAGAGACCGTCAGAGAGCTGTGCGTGCTGGCCGCGGACGTGACCGGCCGGGGCGCGGACGGTGGCTCGTGCCGCCAGCTGGTGACCAGGCCCGCGCATCCACAGGCACCCGGACCTCATCTGCGTGGTGCTGACGTACAGCCTGTCCCAGGGCGTGATGGGCGCCTGGTTCGGCGTCATGGACATCAACCTCCGGCCGCTGGGCGTCACTGAGGTAGGCGCCGCCGGCCGCTCGCGTCGACACGGCCTGCCGCTGGCGTCGGTGCGGCCGTACCTCGTCACCGGCGGCAGCTGGCGTTCATGTGTGGCTGCGGGGCTTGATAATGCCGGTGACGCGCTGGTGAGCGCGCTGCCCGGGCTCACGGCGAACGGCAGACGCGGTGGGTTTGAAGCCATGATCGGCTTAGTCACTACATTAGTCGTCGTATTTCTCTGACGATGATGGGAAACCCATTGTTGGCGACCGCGCCGTGGCCTTGCATGGCACAATAGTTGACATAAAATTCGCCAATACCGTATTGCTTACAGGCTGGGTTAGGAATGTCTCAAGCTGCAGTTGTTAAAGACTGCTAATCTATACAAGTGGCGCACAAAATGGGTCTCTACTTGGAAACCTGACTATTCACATTGTTTCTTAGACTAGC